AAGTGTCCTGAAAGTCTATGATTACGAACCAGTCTCCCCGTTGCAGCAGGTGGAGTATGCTTTCTATTGTGACCATGCGGAATTTTCTCGTGTGTAGGTAGGAGTTTAGAGTCCGAAGATTCAGAATAGGTCGGATGCCTCTGTCCTTTTTGGGAACTACAAAGTAACGGAAATAGAACCTGTTGCTTGCTTGACTTTGCAAAACAGTTTGTACTGCATGCTTTCGAAGAAGGTTGTGGATTTCTTCTTGTAGAGCCGGATTGAAATCTGTGTGCTTGATGTAACCTAAAGGGGGAAGTTCTGTGAATTCGAGCCGATAACCTGACTGAATGATGTCCAGGACCCATTTGTCATTTGTAATGCGTGACCAGTTGGGAAAGAACTTTGCTAGACGAGTTTGAAAGTAGGGATGAATGTGAAGTGCGGTCGGTGAGTCAAAGATAATGTTTTGTTTTCTTGGCAGGAGGACGGTAGGACTGACGGCGATGAGCATGGGTCTGTGAACGAAAGGAAGTGGAGGATGATTAAGCCTGTGGAAGCCTGGTACTTGGTTGATGCTTAAAGGAACGGTAGGTTTGTGATGAGGAAGGTAGGTATTGCTGGGTATTGTAAGGTTTGCGCCACTGGTAAGTTTGGAATCTAGGCTGCTGATGGATCCTGTAGGACTTGGCAGTTTTCTTCATCCTATGAAAGCTTTCCATGGATTCGTCTGTCTTGTTATTAAATACCCCGTTGGCATCAAAGGGGAGCGCTTCTATACAATTTTTGGCATCTTCATTGATGCCAGATGTTCTAAGCCAGGCGTGGCGACACAAAATGATGGAAGACATCATGGTCTTGGACGCGATATCAGCAGAGTGGCGTGAAGCAAGAAGCTGATGTTTGGCCACATTGACAGCCTCCTCAAAGGTGTTGAGGAGGAAAGGCTGGGAGTCATCTGGGGCCTCTTGTAGGGCGGGCAACACTCTTTCCCATAGTTGCCGCTGGTACGCCCCCATAGCTGCCTGATAATTTGCAACTCTGATGAGGAAGGTGGTAAACGAATATATTTTTCTACCCAAGACATCCAGTTTCCTACCTTCTCTATTGGTAGGGGTGATCTGAGCCTTCGAGGATGCCCTAGACTAGTTGGATTGTATAATAATAGAATTAGGGACAGGATGCTTGGTCAAGAAAGCCGGATCCTCACCATGGGTCTTATAGTAGTTCTCACCCCTTCTTGTCACTTTTGTGGATGTTGCTGGAGTTGACCACAACTCCTTGATTGTATTCATGAGGGAAGGGATGAACGCAATACTGAGCGGAGGTGCCCGTTCCTTGTCAATTTCACCAAAGATAAGATCTTCGATAAGTGGAGTGGGTTTCTCAATGTCCAGTTTAAGGGCTTTTGCCATGCGAGAAACCATCTGTACATATGAGGAATAATCCTCAGCAGACGAGGAAGTATGAATATCAGAAGTGCCTGGCTCAGATGGTGCACCAGAGATGGATTCATTATCTCAGCACCAGATGGTGCTGAGAATGGTGTGGGAGATTCCAGAGAGGAATAGATTTCCCCTTGCAAGGATGGCTCCGGAGAGGGTGGCCAAGGTGCCGTTTTATGTGCCCTTCGAGGAGCTGCTTTGTGATGAGGAGCAGCAGAAGAAGAAGCTGATTTTGGGATAGCCGCGGCTGTCCCCGATAAGGTGGACTTATGGGGTACAGCAGCGTTAGGCTGTCTGTGATCCTCTCTCGGCCTCAAAGAGTGGTCCGCCCGGGGTGCTTCTTGAGGGCGCTGCCATGGAGGTGAAGGCGATGACAAGGAGGCATAAATGTAACGCACCCTCTTTCTCAAGCAGTGTGCATCGTCATTCGACCAGGAGTCCGAATCATCGGCAGCGCCTCTACGTCGATGGTGGCGGTCAAGGTCGATCACATATGGCTCCTTCCGTCCGTCCTTGTCACGGCGCTGAGAGGAGTAGGGGGAGGATGACAATCTCCCTATGTGAGTGACAGCGTCGAGGTGGGGAGCTGTGCTTTGTCTTTGATGTTCGCTTACGTGGCGGGAACACCGGGATCGGTGATCATGAGTGTGAGTGTGATTGAAGAGAGGATGCCTGCCCAGCCGATGCAGGGCTGTGAGGGGCAGAACCAACATTAGATATAGGTGCCTCATCTAGTGGGTGCAGGCTAGGTGAACAGCTACGCCTCCCGATCGATGCTGACACCTGCCATGGTGTCCTCAGGGTAGTCGTCTGGAGCAGCCTCCTCCTCTTCCAGAATTGGGGACGGTGGGGAGTTGGGAACAGCAAGAATGGAACAGTGCCGCTCTTCCCCCTTGGAAGATGTGCCCTTATTAGAGTTAACAAGAGCCTTTTCCTTTTTTTCAGGGGCTCTGCATTGGAGGACTTCGACGCCCGCAAGGCTGTCTTAGGGGCAGAAGCTTCAGAGGACATGCCGGGAGCGTTGCTAGCAGAGGCATCGACTGGCAGTAAGGCTGCCTGCGACGCCGAGAATGAAGATTTTTTCTTTTGCTGGCCTCCCCGGTTTAGAGGGGGGCGGAAGTGGTGGCGATTTGGCCCCTCGCTCTGATCTGGATGTCACAGAGGGAGTTGGGGAGGTCTCCATTAGGCTATGCTTGGAGGCTGACAGAGTAGTGTCCCAAAGAAAATACTTGAGCCACTGTTGGTGCGCGCTGAGGGCAGCCCGGGTGAATTTTCAGCACTCTTTACACAATTGTGGCAAATGTCCTTCTCCCAGACAAAATAAGCAGCGCTCGTGGCCGTCTGAGAATGGCAGTTTTCAGCTACACGAGGTGCACTTTCTGAAAGGACCCGAGGAGGACATAAAACTAGTGAAAAACACAGAAAAACCAACAGGTGGGGTACGAAGGGAGAAAGAGTCAAACAGTCCGAGGTAAAAAAAACTGGAGAGAGCATGGAAAATGACAAGTCGAATCGCAAGATGAGAAACGCAGTCCAAAAAACCAGTCCAAATAGATAGAAGCAACAGATAGGCAAAGAATAGTCTTCCAAAACCAAAATCAGGGTGAACAAGTGAGGTCCAGCCGACAAACACAGAAAACTAAGAGCTCTAGAGAGGAGTTCCTAATACAAAGGCGGTAAAACAGAACTGAGGCTAAGGGCGGGCGGAGCATGCGCTGTAGGGGCAACACTTAATCAACCTTTTTTTCTCCTAAGTCTAGAAATTTCCGAGGATTCCGGCACAGGTGCAGACTTATCCCTATCATGTGCATTCACAGAGGCCACGATGAAGGACAAAGAGTTTTCTATTCAAGTAGCCTTCTTCTCAATAACTAGTTGCCTGCCCTAAGAGATGGGCTGCTATCTCCAATCCTTGCCTCTCCTTTTAATTTTCATATTGTACCAATATTTTAATAAACTAGTTATTTAAGTGGTTTGCATTTGAGAAACCAAGGGATTTATGCTTAATAGTACTGTATTCTCCAAGGCTTTTAGGGCCAGGATCCGATGGTTGTTGTAGGTTATTTGGACTGTTTGGTCATGTTCTTAAGGTTATTCTTCCTAATGTTTTGCACCAGAGCACAGACAGCGTTCTGACTCCTGTCCTCTAAAGATGCTGACCACACAGACTGGTGAAACGTTAGGAAGAAAAACCTTAAGAACATGCCCAAACAGCCCGAAAAACCTACAACAACCAACTTAATAGTACTGTTTGTTTGTCACTATTGCAAATAACAGTATGATACTGTTATTTGCACTGGATTACAAATACTATAAAGTGACTGATAGATGAGGATGATGGAATTTATTGCACAACCTACCTGCAAACTGCAAAGTTTGGGAAGGTTTTCCTAAAGCATACTAAGTTACCTGTTCGGTTGGGTTCCTGTCACTGAGCTGCATCTCTCTTCTTGTACTTCTACTCAACCCCCCCCCCCCAATATATTCTTTGTCCAGGTTGGAAAAACTGAAGGAATGATGGACACAGACACACTACAATACTGACGTGCAGCAATAAGTGGCTACAAAGATCAGATTTGGTAAATCAGGGCAACTTACTCTAGCCTGAATGCCTCTGAATGTATGCCTCTGAATGTATATTCCCATCCATTCTGCCTCCCTACTCATTTATGATCAAGAAGTAGGACCAGCAAATACACATCACATGTTTTGCATGCAAGGATCTCATGTCCAAAGTCCAATTCCTGCCATGCCCAGTTCCTAACAATCCCAGAGCACCCCCCCAACTATTATCTTCTTCTTGGAGACAACCTTCTGCAGGGTATGACAAGCCAAAAAACCTTACATCACAGCAATAATTGTGCGGTTAGCTAGCAGATTTACGTGTTAAGCATCTTTATGGGGAGAAATAAATGAATTTGCACAAATTTAACTACCCTGTTTCGCCGAAAATAACCGTAACCTGAAAATAAGCCCTAGTATGATTTTTTAGGATCCTTGTAATATAAGCCCTAACCCCAAAACAAGCCCCAGTTAAGTGAAACCCTGGCTTCCATCATTGTGCAGCAACCAGATGACATGACTGTATTTGAATAAATGTAGATTGTTGTACATGAAAAAATAAAACATCCCCTGAAAATAAGCTCTAATGCAATTTTTGGAGCAAAAATTAATATAACACCCTGTCTTATTTTCGGGGAAACACAGTAGATATTTCCAGGCTCTGAGAAACTGGATGCACAGAGTGGATGGAACTGAATTGAAGCACTCAAAAGCTTTTTCTGTCTGAAAATATCCAACTAGCTCTTCGGCCTCAAGTTTTGGTTTACTGCCAGAATACGAACACTAACCAGCCATACAGTTCTATGATTTTTCAACATTATAGGCATGGAACTCAAGCATTTTCGAGCCCTAAAATATTTCTAACATAAAGGTGCTCAAAACACAGAAAGGAAAGGAATTTCACACCATAACCCTTTCATGATTCTGCTCATATACTTTATGGAATAGATCAAAATGTTTTACCTTAAGAGGACAGGAACAGTGATTGTTCACTGGAAGAAAAAAAATGTATACCTGTAGCACCTGGCTGCCCTTCTCGTCCTTGTAGGCCAGGTAAGCCTGGTACCCCTTGCAAGCCTGGCAGTCCTGATGGTCCTTGACTACCCTTATCTCCTTTTGGCCCCGGCATATCTAGCCCAGGGATGCCTGGGTAGCCCCTTTCTCCTTTTATTCCTGGGGGTCCTGCAGTCAAGTAATTTGTGAAAACAAAATGTTCAAATACTCGATGGAACATAAATGTGTCCAAAGGTTCAATGTAAGCCAATAACAGCAATACAAAACTTTTCTTTTTTGTTTAGGAAAACCAAGCCAAGTTTAAATGTAAGACTTTTTAAGAACAACATTAAGACACAACCCAATGTCCATCTGAGAATAAATTCCACTGGATTATTAGATCTTTCATTTTAGTAACCATCATAGGATTATTTTTTAAATTGTTCTAAGAATAAACACTTTACATCTTTATTTTATGTCTAGATTCTTGACAAAACAAAGGAACAGAGATATCCACATAGTGCCTGAAAAATCATAAAATAAAATTCCTAATGAATGCACAGTAACTGGCTTTAATGCACGTCAGATTGAGTATTGTGTACAGAAATATAAATGGAGAAACCAACAAATCCTAAACAGCAGATTACCTATTGGTCCTGGGGGCCCAGATTGTCCTGGGGAGCCAGGAAGACCTGGGGGGCCTATTCCTGGAACACCAGGGGAGCCCTGTAAACCTGGCAATCCAGCAGGACCAGGATCACCTGGGTAGAAAAATGAAAAATGTTCAGTTGTTAAGGTGCATTCCCTTGATTTTAAGCATTATTTATCATCCACTCTTTAAACTCTGGAATCCTGTCATATCTGTAAGTGGACCTCAGTTCCACTAAGGCAGCAATTTTATAAACACTTTATTTATTTATTTATTTATTTCCCGCCTAATCTGGTCAAACAACCAGTAAGCTGCATCTAAGCTCAATAAGACTAATTCTGTCTATATGTGCATATGACTGTTGACATAAAACATGTTTTCTTTATTACGTTTATAACATCACTAAAAGACAAATGCAGGGATAGGAGGTACCTTTATAGGCCAATAATAAAAAATGAAAAAAATCATACAATATGTGAGCTTTTGTGGGTGAATCCCATTTCCCAACTTGTTCATGGCAAGATGGAGTTTGCCAGGAGGTTACTCTTAGATGTAAAGTTGGTTGCAGTCCTACTCCACTGGTGTTGAGAGTCCATGTGGCTTCCTGTTGGTATGTGGGGGGTGGGCCTATTTCTTGATATCCTCATAGTTCCATTGAAATAAAAGGGGGGAGCTGTGTGACCATTACAAAATACAAATGCAGAAATAGGTGATACCTTTATAGGCTCCTAATAAAAAATAACAATCATACAATATGCAAGTTCTACCCATTAAATCTTACACATTATTTTTTATTATAAAGTACAGTGGTGCCTTAACGATGAATCCGCATAGCGATGGTGTTTTTGCAATTGCAAAAGCGATCACATTGCGATGTTTTAAATGGGGGGAAATCGCTTTGCAATGATTGTGGGGAAGCGCTTCCCCACGATCATCCCAAAGGCCCCCCAAAAGAGAGCCCTGAAGCACAGCTGATGGGCGGGTGTTTGCAAAGATCGCGGGGAAGCCAGCTTCACAAACCCCTGCTGACTTCGGGTGCTCTCTCTCTCTCTCTCCCCTCAGTCACCCTGGCCGTGGCGGCACAGTGCCGCAGTCTCCTTGCCCAGGCTGGACCTGCAAGGGGAGAGAGAGAGCGCGCGGGGGTTGCGAAGCTGGCTTCCCTGCGATCTTTGCAAACCCCCGCCCATCAGCTGTGCTTTGGGCTGGCTCTCTTTCCCATGCTGGACCTGCAAGGGGTGGAGAGAGAGAGAGAGAGAGAGAGAGAGAGAGAGAGACGAAGCACAGCTGATCGGCAGTTCCAAAATGGCCACTCGCTGTGTTGCCTCGCTTTAGAGGCACTGAAAATGGCGGCGGGATGGAGGATTTTCGCTTAAAGGTGAATTTTTTCCCCATAGGAACACATTAAATATGTTTTAATGCGTTCCTATGGGTTTTTTTGCCCCGCATAGCAACGATATAGTATAGCAACGATTTTTCAGAATGGATTATCATCGCTATGCGGGGCACCACTGTACTGCCTATTCTTGCATTTGTGGGACGTGGCGGCACTGCGGGCTAAACCACAGAAGCTTGTGCTGCAGGGTTAGAAGAACCAGCAGTCGTAAGATCGAATCCATGCGACGGAGTGAGCTCCCATCGCTTTGTCCCAGTTCCTCGCCAAACTAGCAGTTCGAAAGCATGTAAATCCAAGTAGATAAATAGACACCATCTCAGTGGGAAGGTAAAACGGCGTTCCCTAGTCACGCTGGCCACATCACAATGGAAAAAAAATGTCTTCAGACAAGCGCTGGCTCTACGGCTTGAAAAACGGGATGAGCACCGCTCCCTAGAGTAGTACACGACTGGACTGAAAATGTCAAGGGGAAACTTTACCTTTACCTATTCTTCCATTTGTATTTTGTAATGATGCCATCACTATTACTCATTAAGAATTGTGTGACAAATACGTTTTTACTATCATTTTTATCACATACAAATTTTTACTCAAGCTAGAAAAACTTTTTTGGCCTGCCAGGCTCCTGAAGCCAATATTGCATTTCTTTTTGCACAAAAATGTACAGCCTCATGACAAATCAGGTTTAGAATGTGACTACAAAAAGCTTACCTTGAGATCCTGGCTGGCCAGGTACACCTGGAAATCCTTTTTCTCCTGGTATACCAGGCAACCCTTGCTCACCCTTTGTTCCAGGGAGCCCATCTTGCCCTTGTAGGCCAGGAAAACCTTTTGGACCTGGGAGTCCTATTCCAGGTTCACCCTTAAAATATTTAAGTGAGACATTATTTAAAGGAGAAAGCACTGCCAGTTTTATTAGCCAGGTAGTCTTAAAGCTACTATCAGGTGGAATGCTATACTAGCAAAGCAAAGTGCTAAGCAAAGCAAAGCAAGCAAGCTTCAAGGTGAGGATGGCCTTATTAGTCTGTTGTAGCAAAATAGGAAAAATTATTGCAGTGCCTTAAACATGTTTTAAACTTTTATGGACTGCAACACATTTCATCTTATGGAACCTGTGACATTTTACATCAAGTAAAATAAAATGTATTAGTCTTTATCTTACCACAAGAATATATTTTTTTAAATAAAGCACACAATAATAACAAAAAGCACAACCAATTGGTTAACATTATAAAATAGTAGCCAAAATATCAACAGATTACTACTGGAGGAAAATATATGCCCACCATTTTCAGATCAGGGCAGAAGGCATTCTATGAGGAAAGTGATAGTATATAAGATTAAGAGAAATTTCATGCCTGAACCACAATTCAAAGAGAAATAAGAAGTTTTGACACTTTTTGAAACATTACAAAAGGAGACGGTATTTGCCCCTGTGAATTGTTTCCACTTAAACCTTCCTAGCCCAATCTATATTTTTATCAAGCCTCACAACCTTTACATAGTGTCTTCTTTTTAATAGGCTATATAGTGCAAATATATCCATAAAAATGATCAAGAAAAAGGATAAAACTGGCAGTCATCTTAGGATGCAAAAAGCTAGATCGCAATGTGTTCAAATGTGTATTGCAACACAAATTTTCTTGTGATCTTAGAAGTGAAAAAATTAGAAACAAATTAATTTCTTTGTACTTCTGAACAATGTTTTTTGCTATCAACAGGAACTACAATTATTTGAAGTTAGCCCAAATTGCTGTGTCACTTACCTTTTGACCTTGTAACCCTGGAGCACCTGGTAACCCCTGGGGACCAGAATCACCCTTCTCCCCAATTACGCCTGGTGGCCCTGCCTGACCAGGAAAACCTACAAAATCCCAAAGACAGTTTTTGTAAATCATATTGCTAATATGTTAAACTCATGAAGTTATGCCACAGAAAACTTAAAACAGGGTTTTAAAATAAGGTAAAATTAAGAAGCTTTTTAACCCATGGTTACTCAGAGGGGTTCCTCAGTCACACAACCTTCTCTGCCTGGATGGGTTATGTCCAGGAGGTCAGTGTAAAAATGACTGGGAAGTGCCTCCTGAGGCCTATGCCCTTCCCTAGCACACATGGATGCTCAGGGAATAAAACATGCACACAGGCTCCTAGTTGCAAACCAGTCCTGCAAAGAAACCCATGTAACCCGTAATGTCTTCAAACCTCTGAGTGTCCTCAGACACTAGAAAAGTACCCTCACAGCTTTCTGAATAAACCACAGCTTGAGTAAAATTTTATATTTTACTAAAAAGTAAAAGTAGCAAAGCATAGCAAAACAAAAGGCAGCATCATATAAAGTAAACAAACCTTAAAGGTATGATAAACTTAAGGCATTAAGTCACCACAGAAAATAAAGAAAAGCTAATTCTCTAAGCCATATTCACAGGGATGTACAGAGTTCTTCACAGCAACTAGCAAAAGCACAGCATGAGCTTACTAAATCCTAATGCTGATCCAAAATGGAGGATGAAATTATGTCAACTAAGTATCTTCCTTAAATCCCATCATCCCACAGTCCCCAATCAGTGGGCATTTTTAATTGGTTTTAACTGTACCAGCCAAGGCTAACTGACCATGTTCCAGGTGCAACCGATATTATCATTAACAGAACTCGATTCCCCACCTGTACCAAGGTCAGGATGTCTTCTCCAACTTTTTTATCTTGAGATGGTACACTGTTGTTATACTGTTCCCAAAATATTCAGTCCTAGGCAGTTCAGTATCAGCATTTTTTACATATTTTACAGGCTTGATGTGACTGAAAATGTCACTTTACAGATGTTACACTTTACAGATGTTACCAACTTGGTGTCAACTCTACAAACTATAATTTCTTCACATGAAGCACTATCAGACTTTCGGGGACATGCAATATATATTTTGGATTGAAAATATACTTCATTGAGGTTAGAGGACAACAGTGAATGATGGTTTAAGAAAGCACATAAGGGCCAAATCCTGTTGCTTAGCATAGTAAATCACACTAAAGTAGGCCCATTGAATCAATGGGAATTTTGCGAAAGTTCCATTGATTTAAATAAGTCTACTCTGTGACTTTGTACACTAGACTAGTCATTCAGTGGGCCTACTCTAGCACAATTTATTATGCTAAGCAACCATTTTTGGCAAATACATATATTAGTCTTTAAGGTGTCACAAGAATCTTTGTTGCTTTTGCTGCAGTAGAATATCACAGTTTATTCTTTGAAAGCTATTTGTTAACTAACAGAGGGCTTATTCTCATACCAGACTAACCATCAATTAAGATGTTCTGGAAAGGCCCTTCTTTCCATGTATCAACATAACATCTAAGAATTCGTTCTCAGTAATGATACATGTATTCTGGCAGGTAATTCTGAAGGAGGTTTGCTTTGAGTCAGTAGTGTTATCATTTGGATAATAGGTGATGATTAGACATGGGGACAAACAAAAAAATGTATTACGATATTTGCTGAATATCTCTGAGTTGTCAAATATTCGTCCCTTTGTAATTATGAGATCCATAGATCCCTTTTATACTCCATTCGTCTCCATCTCTAGTCTCTGCCTATGCCCCTGCAGATAAGTTGATCCATAGAGCCATAGAAAAACAGAGAAAGCTTCCCTGAATCCTCCTCCCCACTGTCTTTTCAAAGGGGGAGGAGGAATTCCCTTCAGGCAGGCTTTCCCTGTCTTTCTATGCCACCACGGATCAGCTGATTCACAGGGGCACAGAAAGATAGGCAAGGCACGTGGTTGCCCAAAGGGAATCCCCTCAATTTACAAAGACAGCAGGGAGGTTGCCCTTTGGGTAGGTTTGCCCAAAGGGAAGCTCCCCACAACTGTTCACAAACAAACAGAAGCTAAGCTGTTGGAATGGAAATCACCGTCCCAACAGTCTAGCTTCCGTTCTGGTGGAGGTGGCAGCGGTGGAGGAGGAGGCAGCAGGACAAGATAGGGAGGCAACGGAGGCAGTGGGAAGAGGGCAGGGGGCTCAGTGTTTTCATTTTTTAGACAGCCCCAATGAACTGACAAATTGATTTGTGGTTTGTCAGTTCACCAGAGGGAAGATGAACCACCATTTTGACAGCTCATCCCCATTGCTAGTGATGCTTTTTTTATTTGTCTTTTTAAAAATTGTATATGTGTAACCCCTATAGTTTACTCCAATGGATGGGGAAATCTTCAGATGGGGCTGTGCTTCTAGATTCCAATTGGGAAAGAGTGGGAGAGCTGGAGATGGCAAGTGTAAGTAGCATAATTCTGATATGTTCATTGTGTTTCTGTTGTTATTGTTCTGTTAGTTGATAGAGAAAAGAATTGGCATCTTTGTAATTTTCTTTGTATTTGCAGTACTCATGTAAACAAGAAAGCCCTATAGAATGCAGAGAGTGGTACATAGGTTTTAGTGTATTTTAGAAGTGTTTTTCCTCCTTTTTTGGCATCCACTGAATCCATTGTGTTTCTATAAAGGACCTACTGTACCACTGTTCTACAAATAACTGACCAGCACTTAAATGCAGAGGGAGCACCTAGGTTACTTGCAAATTTGAGAGGATCCTAGACAAAGTATCCTCTCACTGGCCCTTTCTTTTTCAGTGGAGTTATTACCTAAGGGGTAGTCAGCAGCCCCTTCATGGATTGCTGCCTTGTCGTGGCGAAGGGGCTTGAGTAACTCAGAGAAGCTACGGGCTATGTCGTGCAGGGCCACCCAAGACAGACAGGTCATAGTGGAGAGTTCTGACTAAACACAATCCACCTGGAGTAGGAAATGGCAATGCCACTCCCGTATCATTGCCAAGAAGGCCCTATGACCAGAAACAAAAGGCTAAAAGATATGACGCTGGAAGATGGGCCCCTCAGGTCGAAAGGTGTCCAATATGCTACTGAGGAAGAGTGGAGGACAGGTACAAGTAGCTCCAGAGCTAATGAAGTGGTTGGGCCAAAGCCGAAAGGACGCTCAGCTGTGGATGTGCCTGAAAGTGAAAGGAAAGTCCAATGCTGCAAAGAAAAATATTGCATAGGAACCTGGAATGTAAGATCTATGAACCTTGGTAAACTGGATGTGGTCAAACAGGAGATGGCAAGAATAAACATCAACATCCTGGGCATCAGTGAACTAAAATGGACAGGAATGGGTGAATTCAACTCAGATGATTATCATATCTACTATTCTGGGCAAGAAGCCCGTAGAAGGAATGGAGTAGCCCTCAAAGTCAACAAAAGAGTGGGAAAAGCTGTAATGGGATACAATCTCAAAAATGATAGAATGATGTCAATACGAATCCAAGGCAGACCTTTCAACATCACAATAATCCAAGTTTATGCACCAACCACCATTGCTGAGGAGACTGAAATTGAACAATTTTATGAAGATCTACAACACCTTCTAGAACTGACACCAAAGAAAGATGTTCTTCTCATTCTAGGGGACTGGAATGCTAAAGTAGGGAGCCAAGAGATAAAAGGAACAACAGGTAAGTTTAGCCTTGGAGTTCAAAATGAAGCAGGGTAAAGGCTAATAGAGTTTTGTCAAGAGAACAAGCTGGTCATCCAACAACACAAGAGGCGACTCTATACATGGAAATCACCAGATGGGCAATATCGAAATCAGATTGATTATATTCTCCGCAGCCAAAGATGGAGAAGCTCTATACAGTCAGCAAAAACAAGACCTGGAGTTGATTGTGGTTCTGATCATCAGCTTCTCATAGCAAAATTCAAGCTTAAACTGAAGAGAGTAGGAAAATCCACTGGGCTATTCAGGTATAATCTAAACCAAATCCCTTATGAATACACAGTGGAAGTGAAGAACAGATTTAAGGAACT